TTGACAGACTGCTATCAGGATCGATATGCCTAAAGAGGGAAAACCTATATTTAAATTTGAACATCATTGTAATCAAATGCCAGTACCGTACATAATTTATGCTGACTTCGAAGCACTTATGAAACCAATAGAAAATACCGAACACAATACTGAATGTAGTTTTACGTACAAATCTCAAGAACATATTCCTTGTGGGCTTGGATATATAGTTGTAAGGTATGATGGGAAAACAAACCCGCCCGTGATTTACAGAGGTCCCCATGCAGCGGGAAAGTTCCTAGAATACCTTCAAAATGAAGAGAGAAGAATTAGGGAAAATTTATCGCGTAAGAAACCCATGTTTATGATGAGGGATGTTTGGAGGGCCTATGAGAAGTCATGTCATGTTTGTAATAAACCCCTGAATGGGGATTCCGTAAGAGATCATTGCCACGACACGGGTAATTATCGGGGAGCCGCGCATAACGAGTGTAACTTGAAACTAAACATGAATTCTCAAACAATACCCGTCCCCAGTCAATTTCATATTTATTTAAATAATATTTGAGCTCCGTGAATAGGATTAACGTAGAGCATAGAAAGGTCACACCTCGTATTAACAAACGTGGGTGACAGAGAGAGATATTTTGTTTTGTTAATTTACTTTATTTGTAATTTATCATGTACAACGAATTATAAAATAATACTTTAAAATCATAACAACAACAAAAATGTTGGAGCTATTTTCATTGAACAAGAAGTTGTCGAGATGTATATGAATGCTGACAGTTGTGAAAACAATTTGAGACAGTGGAACGAAGACGTTGTGGTTATTCCTTATACGGAAAGACATTACTATAGGCTTTATAACCTTTCTGTCTATAACATCTTACGAGGGGTGTTCATTAAAGATTTCCCCTGACCCACTTCCGATGGACCTAGTGGAATGAAACTCGGCATAGCTATTAGTCTTTCTCCACATAGGAACCACCAGGAGTTACACACTTCTCCCATCGTTTTATGCAACTATGGAGACCTCGCTTGTAAAAGCCCTCATTTTGCGTCTCAGATCAGGACTTGACTTCAGAAATCAGTGTTTCATCATCTCTGAAACATTTTCCCTTCAAAAATGACTTCATGGTTGGAAGAGGTGGAAGATGGTGCAATGTCAGGAGAGTAAGGAGGATGTAGAAGGATTTCACAGCCACAGGACCGCGCTTCTGTCTGGGCAACATGAGAGTTGTACTGGAGCATTGTCTTGCAGGAGACGGACACCCTTGGTCAGCATGCCACGCCTCTGAAGCTTGATAGCGTTCCGCAATTTCCGCAGCAGTGAAGCATAATAAGCTCCTGTAATTGTGGTACCCTTTGCCAAGAAATCCATCATCACGACTCCGTGCTGGTCCCAAAACACCGTGAGCATGACCTTGCCTGCAGAGGGTTGGACACGTGCTTCCTTTGGGGGTGGTGACTCCACATGCTTCCATTGCATCGACTGAACTTTAGTCTCAGGATCATAGTGATGGACCCATGTTTCATCCTGTGTGATAAAAGTTTGCCTGTTTTTTTTTGTTGTTTTTTTTTGGGGGGGGGGGGGGGGGGGGGGGGGGCACATGTCCAAAAGATCCGTTGAGCAATTGACTCGTTCCTGCTTTGGAAAGGTGTGAGCAACCTGGGAATCCATCGTGCAGACACCTTATGCATGTTCAAATTGTCATGGATGATTTTTTTCCACAGACCCTACACTGATCTTGACATCTTGTCCTAACTTGGGAACAGTTATACATCGGTCTGCTATAATGGCGGTCTCCACTTGATGGATAGTGTCCTCATCAATGGCTGAATGGGGGCGACCAGGAATGGCAGCTGTTTCCACAGATGTCCGACCACACTTGAACTGGCGATGCCAGTGTTTAAGAACGTCATATGATTGGGCATCTTCCAAATAAGTTGCTTTCATTTCTTCGAAAGTTTCTTTTGGTGTGCGACCTTTTAAATATAAAAACCTAATCACTGCTCGGTATTCTACTGGCTCAATTATCACACCCTACTCGATCATAACACCTGTAAAAATGGTAAGATTAATAGTTCAGTGCTGCAAATTCAGACATAATACCTAGATACATGTATCATTACACATGTGAAATTTCAACCAAATATGATAACCCTAAGAGGTTTAGCGGAAATCTTTAATGAACACCCCTCGTATAACTCCAATTGTACGTTACTAATAGTTTATTCAATATTTTATTTGATTGATTGGATGATTGATATGTATGATTAAATGGTTGATGTGCATGATATACATGATGAAATTATTTCATATGCACAATATTTGCATGTTTGAATGATTGATTGCTACACCCCCTTATTCGGTAGTCACTGGATCAATAGGCCGTATTGACAGCATTGTTCATGGACAATAGACAGCATTGTTCATGGACAATAGACAGACAATAGAAGCACTGCCCGTGGGCAGTGGCGACTAATATCTTTTAATTTTGAAATTCATATCTAAATTACACTGTGATATAATTCATGTGACTTTACTACAGACAACTATGCACTTCATAGAGTGATGCATTGCAATATTTAATGTATTACAAAGCCTGTGCGAATGAATAAACTCAGTCACCGACCATAACCGAAAATCAATCTTCCATCAGCAAAATTATTTTCCGTTTCAAGAAACCATTCTATAACTATTTTAAACAAATAGATATCTGAATCTGTTATATCAGTAACACAGCCACTAACAATATCAGTTGCAAATTTAATTAACCAATTTTAATGCGATATTTAGATTGTTTACAAAACATATTAATCAAACATTTGCAAAACATTTAATTTCCTTTAAAAATAAGGCACTAAAACCATTAAAAAAGATCCGTGACAGATGATAATTTGAAATATTGATCCCTTGTGATGCCAGTTTCAATACAACCAAGTAGGACATGCTTGACTTTGAGTCTCACATGACGAGGGAAACAGAATGGATGATCCTCACCTTTCAATAAATATTCATGTGTTTAGCTGCTATGACCAGTATGACATCGTCGTATTATTACCTCTCCAAATCTGGACTAACAACCCAAGTAGGTGTAACTGATAGCTGGTACTATTTCATGTAATTGATTTATATCGACTTCAGTGTCCCACTTCTTTTGCATAAAATTTCTTATGTAACATCTAGGGGCTTATAATCACTGTATGGGATCCGATGTGGTGTTTCATATTTATCGAGGGCTGCTGCTGAGTTACTAACGATTCCAACATGTCTGGGTAACAACAGAAAATGGCTAGTAGCTAGGTCATTATATAATTCAACAAGTTAGTTTGAGAGTTCATGTGTACATGACATATGTATATAGCCTGAAGACACGAAAGAGGGTCTGAAAATATCATGAACTGATTTAGCTTAGAGTTAAGGTTAGGGTTAGGGTTAGGGTTTACATTTAGGGTTAGGGTTAGGGTTAGGGTTAGGTTGTCATAACCTAGGCATGCTTTGAAGCAGGTCGGAAATCGTCCTTTATTTTGTCGTTTTTTAGCAAATACAGGTATATACAATGTTATTAAACAAAATGTAGGAATGTATTTGTATTGAATGGTGTGATTATAACTTCAGTATGTCGGAATTCCCGTTTTAGTAACAATTCATAGACCATTTCATTAGTCATATCTCTTTGAAAGCCATGACAAATGTATTTTGTGTCTACATTTTCTTGTGTTCTTTGTGGCGATGGTAACAGACAGAAGGTTCCTAATCTCAAGCACGGTACTAGAATACAGCGATTGTGTCGAGAATGGGATCATTTGAATAAGTATAAGAATAACCATAGCAAATACACAAGGTTGGTTTATTATTTAACAATGTGCTTCTCAAGTATGTGGTAATATCTCATAAACAACCTGCCAAGTTTTGCACAGGTGATTGCACAAGCAGGGTGTATGATATAAACATGTATGCGTGGTCACAATAGTGTCTGGTGTGTCGTTATTTATCGTGTTTTATGCTGTGACACCCTTTACGGACACGTTGTGCTAACACTACACGTACATAAAGCTATATCTGCATGTCATTTCTCCTCACCATTGTGCAACTAATTGCGAACACATTGACACAATCTTCTCCAGCTCAACAGGGAAATACCTGAAGTGTATCCAAGTAAGCATTGTCTGTCGTTCAGTAGTGCTCTCCTTGCCAGTCTGGAGCATTACCGGGATGTAAGGTGAAAGGTGAAATGGGGTTCAACGTCGCGTTCAAGACTATTGAACTTATATAGCGACGTGCATGCACGTGTGCGTATGTGTGTGGCTGCTTGTACTAGTCCGGACTGATGCCGATTTGTAATGTTAGCACACTGAGATACCATGCCGCAGTTTAACATGAATACCCCACTTAGACACAGTATACTGACTCCGAGCTGACCAGTCCTTGTTTTAGCCCCTTAATGCCGAGCGCCAGACAGGGTAACAAGAAGTACCATCTTTCAACGTCTTTTGGCATGAGGCGATCGGGGATCGAACCCCTGACCTTCCGCTGTCCGGGCGGACGCTCTACCATTAGACCATGGAGGTGGTCATTACGGGGATGACAGAGACACATGTATTTGACAAAAAAAGCATGTGTTGTTGCTACGATCAAATTCTGAATTAGTATTTCGCGATAATGTGGATGTAATATACATTTATATAACACAAATATCAACATGAACAAAGAGATGCATTTTGTTGCCATAGTAACAGGCTCAGGTGTGCTATGTGCATCATAAGATCCCAACAACTAAACCCAGGTGTAGAAACCTTGTGAAAAATACACATTACAGTTATGCCAAGAAACTAGCAGCTTAAAAATAATACTCAACACATGTTGCTTGTGTTCCTGATAATAGTGAATGCATGAGGTGCTTGACCATTTCATAAAACAGCAGGGGATTATGATATTACTTTCTTCCGTACATGCATTCACTGAGAACAAGCATTTATCGTAGAACCAGCATCATCAAACAAAACACATGTTCTTTTTCTCAATGATGTTAATCTACTTTATTTTCCTTGCACTGCGAGTAAGCAAAACGAACATTAAAAAGGATTTGGTGTTATGACACGCATTTGTTTCACTTCACTATAAGTCTCTAAATTTACCATGGAGCGAAAACCCAAATACTGTCATATATGTCAGACTGGACGTTGAAGAGTAAAATGAATTAAATACAAAATATTAATATGATGATGATGCATCGATGTGGCTAAAATAGCGTAGACAATCAAAGCCGATACATCAGTGTGGCAATTATTTCTAGACAGCCAGAGCCAGATAGGCTTTTAGTTTGTAATTCACTGGGAACATGTTGCGACAACAGCATCACGGAACACATTTTCTATGTAATTTCTAGTATTTTTGTCGAGTTCCATCCATCCATGTACTGGCAAGGAGTTTGACATATATTTAATGTATGTGTTCAAAAGCAATTGAAAAGGATTACTTTCTTATGAGGTGAGATAACCTGCACATACTTTGGGACATACAAAAATAGTCCCACTCTCAAATATAACAATCTAACTGGAAGTCTCTAGTAACACATTGATAATCACTTGTGAGGCCTAATAGCATGAACTTAGCAGAAGCCGGGTTGAGGTGACATACTGTATGGAACAATTTCCTGAATACATCAGTAGTGACTTTCTAGGGTGTAGATTCTAACAAAGTTATCAAGGGGTGAGTGAGTGAGTATAGATTTGTGAAGGTTTTACCAAGATTACAGCAATATCACATCGGGGGACACCAGAAATGGGCTTCACCGATTGTACCCATGTGGGGAATTGAACCTTGGTTTTTTGTGTTTCTTGTGAGCGCTTTAAGTACTAAGCTACCCCACCACCTAATTACCAAAGCACTACTGTACCAATTGATTAGGTGTGAATCGTTAACATGTGGATGACAACTCTAGGGCATCAGCTCTAGCATATTGTCTCATAGTTGAGAGTAAAGAAAATCGAGTAAATAAACACAAACATTCTCCCTACTGGAAATATTAGATACAACCTATGCCATCATCACTTTCCCAATAAGGAAATTGTAATTATCTAAATGTGAAAAGTGTTAAACCAACCGTTTAAATATATATGCACCAAATTCAATAAGGAAGGAACAACTACTAATTTTATATGAAAGACACATTTTGTAACAATCAAATCGAGAAGAGTTTATGGATAACAACTTCTTCTTCTTCTTCTCCAGGCTTGCTTGACAACGCTATAAGGATCTATACCGAAACGTCGCTTTTTACAGTATTAAAGAAGTTGTTATCCATAGAATTGTGTCTATCTTGTCATCCGTCAACTTCTAAGTTATGCCTGTGAAACAATTGAATCAAATCTACTTCTAATTGTATATGAAAGACACATTTTGTAACAATCAAATCGAGAAGATTTTATGGATAACAACTTCTTCTTCTTCTCCAGTCTTGCTTGACAACGCTATAAGGATCGATACCGAAACGTCGCTTTTCACAGTATTAAAGAACTTGTTATCAATAGAATTGTGTCCATCTTGCCATCCGTCAACTTCTAAGTAATTCCTATCAAACAATTGCATCAAATCGAGGTCATAACAGTGGAACAGTTTGCAATTACACTGAAGATTACGCTACGTAAGCATTAATATACATCAATACATGTATGTTTTCAACGTTTTGCCTTACGTACACTGTAAGATTATCGTCATACAGCTAAACTATTGCCGCGTGCTGCGTTAGGTACAAACGACACTAACAACAACAACAACAACACCTTAAAGATAATCAGTATGTATACAACCTCTCAGTATGTTTATGCAAGAGGAGGAAGGTTGCAAAGTTTGATCATGACTGCAACCATTAAGGCCACAAGTAACACGGCCAACATTGCTTTAACACTCCCATAGGTAGGAGGACCGAGAGTACGTCTGTTCTTATCATGTTTGCTGATTTCACTGTACATTCTTTCTTGCTGCTCTTGGTTGAGTTTCTTCTCTTCTTGGTCCACGCAGCTGGACAGGATTCTCTGAAGAACCCTGAGATGCTGGAGTTTAGAGATCACATCCGCGTCTGTTTCCTTAACGTAGTTCCTGACGAAACTGATAGACGAGGGGAGTACGCCAGTCTTCTTTGACATCAACCTGACAGCTTCCTGTACTTTACTCGACTGGTACAGGTTGGGCAGATTGGCTCTGTCACGGAACTGGTGGTCACACTCATCAAGGTGGGTGAGGACCAGGTGGATGGATGTGTCTGAAACATGACAACAAGCCCAATATGCAAGGTGGGGTGAGGTCCAGGTGGATGGATATGTCTGAAACATGACAACAAGCCCAATATACAAGGTGGGCGAGGACCAGGTGGATGGATGTGTCTGAAACATGACAACAAGCCCAATATACAAGGTGGGTGAGGACCAGGTGGATGGATGTGTCTGAAACATGACAACAAGCCCCTTTTACATGATGGGTGAGGACCAGGTGGATGGATGTGTCTGAAACATGACAACACGCCCAATATACAAGGTGGGCGAGGACCAGGTGGATGGATGTGTCTGAAACATGACAACAAGTCCAATATACAAGGTGGGTGAGGACAAGGTGGATTGATGTGTCTGAAACATGACAACACGCCCAATATACAAGTTGGGTGAGGACCAGGAGGATGGATGTGTCTGAACCATGACTTTAAGGCCACTATGTGTGTCACTATCAACAGATGCCAAAATTCAAACGCGTGAAGTATGACAAAATAAATGAATGATTAGAGAGAGTACATTCCATGGTTTGGAAAGATATTCAATGCATACTACAAATATAATGAACGAGGTTAATGTCACCATAGGTTGTACAATTCTTGTCTGCACTGGAGTTGCATGTCCTTCCCATAACAAAACTGTTTTTGTTTGAAATTATATAAACAACACAAGAGTACTCGATCTTTGAATCCAGATCTTTACTATATTAGGCGTTAGTTTAACAAAAAAGCAAAACCATCAGTGTTATTTCTTTTGGAACCAACATATTTGTTGTCTCAATTCGACACCAGTGTATATATCGATCATTTTATATCTTAATCTCCAGTGGTAAGATGTTTGTGGTAAATATTAGAACTGATTTACGGAACTGATATATTGGAACTGGTATATTAGAACTGATATATTGACACATACATATTAGAACTGATATATTGGAACTGATATATTTGAACTGATTTATTGGAACTGATATATTGGAACTGATATATTTGAACTGATTTATTGGAACTAATATATTGGACTGATATATCGGAACTGACATATTAGAACGGACTTATTGGAACTGATATATTAGAACTGATTTATTGGAACTGATTTATTAAAACTGATATATTGGACTGATATATTGAACTGATTGAATAGAACTGATATATTGGACTGATATATTAGAACTGATATATTAGAACTGATTCATTGGACTGATCAATTAGAACCGGTTTATTGGAACTGATATATAGGAACTGATATATTGGACTGATATATTAGAACTGATTTATTAGAACTGATCTATTACAACTGATTTATTGGAACTGATATATTGGAACTGATTTATAGGAACTGAAATATTAGAACTGATTTATTAGAACTGATATATTCGAACTGATTTATTCGAACTGATATATTAGAACTAATTTATTGGAACTGATATACTGGAACTGATATATTGGAACTGGTATATTAGAACTGATATATTGACACATACATATTAGAACTGATATATTGGAACTGATATATTTGAACTGATTTATTGGAACTGATATATTGGAACTGATATATTTGAACTGATTTATTGGAACTAATATATTGGACTGATATATCGGAACTGACATATTAGAACGGACTTATTGGAACTGATATATTAGAACTGATTTATTGGAACTGATTTATTAAAACTGATATATTGGACTGATATATTGAACTGATTGAATAGAACTGATATATTGGACTGATATATTAGAACTGATATATTAGAACTGATTCATTGGACTGATCAATTAGAACCGGTTTATTGGAACTGATATATAGGAACTGATATATTGGACTGATATATTAGAACTGATTTATTAGAACTGATCTATTACAACTGATTTATTGGAACTGATATATTGGAACTGATTTATAGGAACTGAAATATTAGAACTGATTTATTAGAACTGATATATTCGAACTGATTTATTCGAACTGATATATTAGAACTAATTTATTGGAACTGATATACTGGAACTGATATATTAGAACTGATTTATTGGAACTGATTTATTGGAACTGATATATTAGAATTGATATATTGGACTGATATATAAGAACTGATTGATTGGAACTGAGTTATTGGAACTGATATATTGGAACTGATTTATTGGAACTGATATATTGGAACTGATATATTGGAACTGATATATTGGAACTGATATATTAGAACTGATTTATAGGAACTGATATATTGGAACTGATATATTGGTACTGATTTATTGGAACTGATATATTGGACTGATATATTGGAACTGATATATTAGAACTGATATATTGGAACTGATCTATTGGAACTGATTTATTGGAACTGATTGATTGGAACTTAGATATTGGAACTGATATATTGGAACTGATACATTTGAACAGATTGATTGGAACTGATCTATTGGAATTGATATATTAGAACTGATATATTGGACTGATATATTAGAACTGTTTTAATGGAACTGATTTATTGGAACTGATATATTGAAACTGATATATTGGAACTTATATATTGGAACTGATATATTAGAACTGATATATTGGAACTGATATATTGGAACTGGTACATTAGAACTGATATATTGCAATTGATATATTATAACTGATTTATTTGAAATGATTTATTGGAACTGATATATTGGAACTGATCTATTGAAACTGATATTTTGAAACTGATATATTAGAAACTGATTTATTGGAACTGATCTATTAGAACTGATTTTTTGGAACTGATCAATTAGAACTGATTGACGGAACTGATATATTGGAACTGATCTATTGGAACTGATTTATTGGAACTGATTGATTGGAACTGATCTATTGGAACTGATATATTAGAACTGATATATTGGACTGATATATTAGAACTGATATATTGACACATACATATTAGAACTGATATATTGGAACTGATATATTTGAACTGATATATTGGAACTGATGTATTCGAACTGATATATTTGAACTGATTTATTGGAACTGATATATTGGACTGATATATCGGAACTGACATATTAGAACGGACTTATTGGAACTGATATATTAGAACTGATTTATTGGAACTGATTTATTAAAACTGATATATTGGACTGATATATTGAACTGATTGATTAGAACTGATATATTGGACTGATATATTAGAACTGATATATTAGAACTGATTCATTGGACTGATCAATTAGAACTGGTTTATTGGAACTGATATATAGGAACTGATATATTGGACTGATCAATTAGAACTGATTTATTAGAACTGATCTATTACAACTGATTTATTGGAACTGACATATTGGAACTGATTTATAGGAACTGAAATATTAGAATAGAACTGATTTATTAGAACTGATATATTCGAACTGATCTATTAGAACTAATTTATTGGAACTGATATATTGGAACTGATATATTAGAACTGATTTATTGGAACTGATTTATTTGAACTGATATATTAGAATTGATATATTGGACTGATATATAAGAACTGATTAATTGGAACTGCTTTATTGGAACTGATATATTGGAACTGATTTATTGGAACTGATATATTGGAACTGATATATTGGAACTGATATATTGGAACTGATATATTAGAACTGATTGATAGGAACTGATATATTGGAACTGATATATTGGTACTGATTTATTGGAACTGATATATTGGACTGGTATATTGGAACTGATATATTAGAACTGATATATTGGAACTGATATATTAGAACTGATATATTGGAACTGATGAATTAGAACTGATTTACGGAACTGATATATTGGAACTGATCTATTGGAACTGATTTATTGGAACTGATTCATTGGAACTGATTTATTGGAACTGATATATTGGAACTGATATATTGGAACTGATATATTGGAACTGATCTATTAGAACTGATTTATAGGAACTGATATATTGGAACTGATATATTGGTACTGATTTATTGGAACTGATATATTGGACTGATATATTGGAACTGACATATTAGAACTGATATATTGGAACTGATATATTAGAACTGATATATTGGAACTGATAAATTAGAACTGATTTACCGAACTGATATATTGGAACTGATCTATTGGAACTGATTTATTGGAACTGATTGATTGGAACTGATATATTGGAACTGATATATTGGAACTGATACATTTGAACAGATTGATTGGAACTGATCTATTGGAACTGATATATTAGAACTGATATATTTGACTGATATATTAGAACTGTCTTAACGGAACTGATTTATTGGAACTGATGTATTGAAACTGATATATTGGAACTTATATATTGGAACTGATATATTAGAACTGATATATTGGAACTGATATATTGGAACTGGTACATTAGAACTGATATATTGCAATTGATATATTATAACTGATTTATTTGAAATGATTTATTGGAACTGATATATTGGAACTGATCTATTGAAACTGATATTTTGAAACTGATATATTAGAACTGATTTATTGGAACTGATCTATTAGAACTGATTTATTGGAACTGATCAATTAGAACTGATTTACGGAACTGATATATTGGACTGATATATTAGAACTGTTTTAATGGAACTGATATATTGGAACTGATATATTGGTACTGATTTATTGGAACTGATATATTGGACTGATATATTGGAACTGACATATTAGAACTGATATATTGGAACTGATATATTAGAACTGATATATTGGAACTGATAAATTAGAACTGATTTACGGAACTGATATATTGGAACTGATCTATTGGAACTGATTTATTGGAACTGATTGATTGGAACTGATATATTGGAACTGATATATTGGAACTGATACATTTGAACAGATTGATTGGAACTGATCTATTGGAACTGATATATTAGAACTGATATATTTGACTGATATATTAGAACTGTTTTAATGGAAGTGATTTATTGGAACTGATGTATTGAAACTGATATATTGGAACTTATATATTGGAACTGATATATTAGAACTGATATATTGG